TGCACATAAAATGAAATAAGTCATTGCTGACATTTTTTGACCATGTAATTGGACAACTGAAAGCTAGCCATCATGTCAACTCTCAGGCGTAAAACAGGAGTATTTGAAAAGAAATTCACATATTATTTGCACTCTTCATTAAGTTTGTTAACTTTTCACCAGTTTTGTTTAGCAGACTTTTTTTATATGCACTTCTTAAACTCTACAGAAGCTGCATGAAAGGTATTTTTACACAAGGAAAACAGGTAATGTCAATGAACTTTGTTAATAACAGAGTGTATACACACAAAAATACATATACATACACACACACACACACACACACACCAATATTAATCTCTTAATCAATTTCCTCCTTTTGTGCAGTAGTCAGAAGATTTCAGTTTGGAAGAAAACAAGAGCAACATTTCTTGATAAAGGAATGGAGATGTATCAGGTCATTTTAGGAACTAACACTTTATTTATGGGAAAGATGAATTACAGTTTAAAAAGATGATGTTTCACAGCCATTGCAAAGTCGGAAATGAATGAGTGTACAATCAACATAGCTTTGTTCTGAAAGAATGTTGTTCCTAGTTAGGTTTAGTATTCTTTGGTGGAGTATATACCAGGATATACTTAGATTTTCAATTTTTGTTGCAATGTTTATGGCATTACCTACATGAAATCAAATCCATGTTTGGAAACAATAAAATCCATGCAACAGACTTCCATTTCTGCTCCTAGCCAGGGACGGAAGGTGGAGACAAGGTCAAAATGATATACAGGGACAATTACTTTTCTGAAAAGAGGGAAAAATAGCAGCAATGAAAAGAGAAAAGCGGTTTATCAAAATTGCATGTAATAAGTGCTACTGGCACTACCGCTGGTCTATTAATCCAAATATCCAGGTCATATCTGGGGATCTGTCTTATGAACCCCACCGCGGCAGATGGTGGAATTTAAACTCAATAAATATCTGGAATTAAGAGTTTAAATGATGACCGCAAATCCATCGTCAATTGTCAGAAAAACCAACCAGGTTCATTCGTTCTTTAGGGAAGGAAACTGCCATCCTTATCTACTCTGGCCTATATGTGACTCCAGACCCACAGTAATATGGTTGACTCTCTGGGCAATTAGGAATGGGCAATAAACACTGGCCTGGTCAGCAATGTCCTCATCCCATGAATAAATAAACAAAAAGAATTTCAAAATGTGCCAGAGTGATCTCTGTCCACTTAATTACTTTAGAGCAGTTATTGATATCAAGTGCAATACAATTAAATTCCTCTAGATGGTGACAGAATTATTAACAGCTTTCAGCTCAAAGTGAAATTTCTTTGTGAGGAGAGATAAGGACCCCTTAATAATCAACAAGGCCTTCTGTGTGGAACCACGAGATGGGTGAGGTACTAAACAATTATTTCATGTCAGAATTTACTGTGAAGAAGGACATGGAAGCTAGAGAGCTTGGGGAAATAAATAGTGATATCTTGAAAAGTGTCCATATTAGAGAAGAGGAGGTGCTGACTGTCTTAAAATGCATTAAGGTGGATAAACCCTCAGGACCTGACCAGGTGTATGCCAGAACTTTGTGGGAAGCTCAGGATTGCTGGGCCACTTGCCGAGATATTTGTATCAATAGCCACTGGTGAGGTGCCAAAAGACTGGAGGTTGGCTAATATGGTGCCATTATTTAAGAATGGTAAGGATAAGCCAGGGAACTATTGACCAGTGAGCTTGATGTCAGTGACGGATAAGTTGTTGGAGGGAATTCAGAGGGACAGTATTTACATGCATTTGGAAAGGCAAGGACTGATTACAGATGGTCAACATGACTTTGTGCGTGGGAAATAGTGTCTCATAACTTGAGTTTTTTGAAGAGATAAACAAGATTGATGAAGGCAGAACAATACATGTTGTCTATATGGACTTCAGCAAAGCATTCGACAAGGTTCCGCATGGTGTACTGTTTAGCAAGGTTATATCACATGGAATCCGGGCCGCTAGCCAACTGGATACAAAATTGGTTGAAGGTAGGAAACAGAGGGTGGTGGTGGAGGGTTGTTTTTCAGACTGGAGGCCTGTGGCCAGTGGACTGCCACAAGGATCACTGCTGGACTCACTGCTTTTTGTCATTTATCTAAATGATTTGGAATGTGAACATAGGAGGCATGGTTAGTAAGTTTGCAGATGACACCCCAAAATTGGTGGTGTAGTGGGCAGTGAAGAAGGTTATCTCAGAGTACAACGAGATCTTGATCGGATGCGTCAAGGGCTGAGGAATGGCAAATGGAGTTAATTTAGATAAACATGAGGTGTTGCATTTTGGTAAGGCAGACCAGGGCAGGACCTATACAGTTTATGGTAAAGCCCTCGGGAGTATTGCCAAACAAAGTGACCTGAGTGTGCAGGTGCATTGTTCCTTGAAAGCGCAGTCAAAGGTAGACAGGGTGGTGAAGGCGGCATTCAACAAACTTGCTGTCATTGGTCAGAACACCGAAAACAGGAGTTGGAATGTCATCTTGTGGCTGTACAGGGCATTGGTTGGGCCACTTTTAAAATACTGCATGCAATTCAATACCTCCCTGCTATAGCAAAGAATTTGGGAGACTTGAAAGGGTTTTGAATAGATTTACAAGGACGTTGCTGGCATTGGAGATCTTGAGCTATAGGAGATGCTGGATAGTCTGGGTTTTTTTTCCCTGGAGAGTGGAAGGCTGAGAGGTGACCTTATAGAGGTTTAGAAAATCATGAGGGGCATGGATAGGGTGAATAGCCAAGATCTTTTTCCCAGGGGAGGGGAGTTTAAAATTAGACAGCGTAAGTTTAAGTGAGAGGGGAAAGATTTAGAAGGGAACAGAGGGGCAATATTTTGGGACAGAGGGTGGTGCATGTATGGAATGAGCTGCCTGAGGAAGTGGAAGAGGTGGATACAATTACATTATTTTAAAGGCATCTGGATGGGTGGATGAATAGGAATGGTTTAAGAGTGATATGGGCCAAATGCTGGCAAATGGGACTAAATCAGTTTAGGTTATCTGTGTTAGACTGAAGGGTCTGCTTCCGTGCTGTATAACACTATGACTCTATGATGTCAGTTTTCCAGGGTAATGATGACGAACACAGATTTGCCATTATCACAACTGCAAAATTTGGGCCATGGCTTAGATGAGGTGAAAAAGTAAACTTTGAGGAAGATCCATAAAGATTTCCAAAAGGTCAGAGGCAGGTTACACTAGTGCACAAAGGCACGTTAGATAGAATATAATATAGGGATATGTGAAATAATGAACTTTGATAGGAAATTTTTGAAAAGTAGACATTTTTAAAAATCTTGAGACACAGAAAAGCCTTGCTATTTAAAGGGACTTAGATGTCCCTGCACATAAATCACAAGTTTAAAGGGGATTGTTGCACAACTCTGGAAATTAGGGTTCACCAGACTGGTCCGTGGGATGCAGGGATTGTGCCCGAATAGAGATTTTGTCTTTAGCCTTTAGAAGAACAAAAATGGTCTTAGCAGATTAGAAGCTGAGGATCCTCATATGGGGGAAATTGCAGCTTAGGAATATTAGGATGAGGATGAGAAACTTTCCCAAAAGATTATGAACCTTAGAATTTGTAAATACAGAGTCATAGAGTATATTCAAGCAAGATGGAAGTTTTTGGATTCTAACAGAATTAAGGTATAGTATGGAAAAATTGAGTTGAGGTAGATCAGCCTCGTGCTTATTGAAGTGCTACTCCTACTTCTGTCCATCTGCTTAAATGTCAATGCTGTTAACCTACTTCACCTTACCCACCTTTTTTAATTAAATATAAACTTCCTTTGGATATTATCAGCTGGGATAGAGGGAACTAATTTAATCCTGTTGGCAATACACACTGTGCAGCAAGTAACAGTACATTAAGTCCTCATCCATTTGCCAGAAGGAAGGAAAGCAGCCCAAGGTTCTGCAACCTGTCATAGAAGCAACATGACCATTTTCGACAGGTCCTGTAGCCAGTAAGGGACACCACAGTTTCTTGCAGGTGCTTGTCAAAAAGATGCTGTCAGACAACAGCTATGGTAGTGGTTCAGTCCAAGTGGTGTTTAAAACAAGTGATTTGGAATCTGGTGTATAAAGGTTCCATTGTACCCTTGGGAACAGGACTGCAAAGGGTCTATCACAAGGAAAGGCCACACAGCTGGACGTAGACAGCAGGAGAAGTTATTCGAAAAATGGTGCACATCGTGTGGGAAATGAAGTTGAAACAAATTGTGCAATATTCAATGACATTACAGGCACCATTGACTTACCAGCATGACAAGGAAACAGTATTAAATGGGGCAACTTTAAACAATAACTGATTGCATAGAGATGGGAAGGAGCAGGTGAGGTTGAAGGCATCAAGCACTCAGTCAAATTAATGATCTCACCAAAACTTTAATTAAAAAAAGAAAATTCTGAAGAATCGGAAGCATTGACAACCATGTGTACAAAGAGAAACAGAGTTAACATTTTGAGTCCACTGTGACTCTGCTTCAAATTTCAGAGTCAAAGTGGACTCAAAAGTTAACTGTCTCTCCACAGATGCTGCCAGACCCGTCTAGTTTCTCCAGCATTTCCCTTTGTAATTTCAGATTTTCAGCATTTGCAGTATTTTGCTTTGATTCTCCAAAACTGTAATTCGGGGGCTCTTCCAAATGCTGACTTCACTAGTATAAGTCAACACCTGAGAGCAGGATTGGCTGGCTAGCTGCTCCATTATCTGTATCCAGTGGATGCTATGAGGTAAAATAAAGATTCCCACAGCTCAGCTCATATCCTTTCCGCTAACCCTGCTGAATCAGTGCCACTAAGTGTCAGAATTTTGAGAGCAGGACATGATGATCAGTCAGGAATTTGTTGTTCATGAAAGTTAAAGCATGACATATCATCAACAGGAAAAAGTATCTGTTTCAGGCTGAACTGAAAGTTAAGAAGCAAGTAATGCTTTTCCCCCCATCTCGTCATTGTTTTTAGTGGTGGGCTAAACATCAACTTAGTCACAAATTGAGAATATGACCCATCTGCAAAGGTTTTTGTGAGAATTTAACAATGATAAAAATTGGAGGCTAGCTCACTAACATTTATAACAATGCATGCTTAATTAAATTTTATTTTGTTCAATATGGCCTTATTAAGTTCTGGTTCAATTTCAGAGTCCACTTGAACCAAATATATTGAATTCGCCATGTAATTTAGCACTTTGGCAAAAGAAATATGATATTCTTTATTTTAAGAACATGCTTTCCAACAAGGGTCAACAAACAATTCACTTTATCCTGAGCTCACTGTAATTGTAAGGCAGCCTATATTAGTAAATTTTTTTCAATGTGCAACAATTACAAATACAGTACACTAAGTCTTAAAATAAGTCTTTAAAACTTGAAGAAATACCTTGTGTTTTGTCATTGTACTAAAATGGTTATTTCTGAAGAACACACACATCTCTCCTTCTTCAACTGTGGAAATCAGTTCACATAATCCATGGAACGTTAGTTGGGTTGCAGTGCTGTTTAAAAATTGTTCTGCAACAAACCCTAGGGACATATAGAAAAAAAAACAAACATTCAGATTACTCAGCTGAATGAAAACCACTATTCTGAACTCAAAGGCACAATACAAGAAGGAATTCATGGATCACAGACCAAATGTCTGCACCTATCCTTATCTATTATTAGAGTTAATGAATAGATTTATCCCCCAAATTTTGCACTGTCCACACCCCGTATTAAACATTTTAATTTTTGCTGGATTACTCCAAGCTTTGTATTGGTTGAAAAATTCTTACATCTGTCTAAACTATCAAATTCTGCTTTCTGTAACTTCTTGTCTTCAAAGAACAGAAGAAACTGAATGATTTTTTAAAAATCACATGTTCCTCAGTGGCTCATTTGAAGCCCATACAAAGCACAAAATTCAAGGTTCAATTTTCAGTTTGTTGATATCAACCAATCGTAGATTTAAAGCTGGCCTTATGTTACCTGAGGGAGAACAAATCTACTGTGGTCTTTATTCAGTGACTTCCTCCTGGAAACTGATGTTTGAACAGGATCTGATTCAGTTGCGAAGCTTTATCAACTGAATTATCTGCCAGCATCTATAATTAAGGTTCATAAATGAAGAATGGCTACTTGAATACAATATTGGAGGCCACTTGTCAAAAAGAAAAAGAAAATCACATACTGATAAATAAAGAAAAATATCTCTGGCCATATCCAATAAGTGATCCTATTTCACTTAAACAGCAAATAAACTGCTAGTAGTACTGACACTTGCAAACAAAAACATAAAATTCATTACCTATGTTCTAACCTATACACTTTGCTGAAGGATCTCAAAGATTTAAAACTATCCAGAAAAACACATGAAAATAATGAAAAATGGTAATCACAATTTCTGAAGTCCAAACTGACTTCCTGTTAACTCGTACTAAGAATATGAGAGGGGGATATAATGATAGCGATCAACAAAACTACCTCCAGACATCAACCTGAAATAGGTTATTTAGAATAAACTAAAACACATTACTTCTTCAGTCTCAAAATTATTTTCACTGCTGAAAAAGTGCAAGTTTTTCCAAAGTGACAGGACTATGGCATAATTCATGTTTCCAGCTGAAGGGACATGAGATTTCAAATGAAAAGTATTTTTTCAGTTTACAAAGAAACAATTAGGATTCTTGTGCTTTGACAGGATTTGAAAGAATTACTATTGTTTAAGAATATGCAGGCCAAAACACACATATAAAGTACATTGTTAATCAATATGCTCAGATGCATGCAACAAATTTTGGTTGATACTGCTTTAGGTTTCCAAGATAACAATAGACTAAAACTCTGAAAAACATGCGAAGTATACAATTATTAATGCTTATGCTAGATCATTCATGCAGAGATTAAAAATACTTCTACAGCTTTGATGACAAAAATATTGACAAAACAACGAAGCTTCTTTGGCAATAACAAGTTTGGTCACAACTCTGCAACTGCAAATAAAATTAAATGGCAAAATCTAACCATTAAAGCTTCTCTGACCACTTAGCCAATTCTGCATACACAATGGGAAATACAGCATGCTGAACCCTCAGTGCCCAGTATCTCAAAAATTAGTGCACAATTTTGTATGAATCATCCGTACAATGGATCTCAAATTTCACATTGTTATCAAAAAATGTGCAGAAATCTGCAAGAAAACAAACACTTGAGATTGAATAAGTAGAAAAGATCCAAAGCAGATTAACCCAAAAGGTGCACATTGCCTCTAGTACACTGGTTTAAACAATCAGCCTTGGACTATACATCATCTAGCTCAGAATATATCATCTGCCTATCATCTTCTAGTCAAAACGTACTCTTTAGCCCGGAAGATTCCAAAACAAGGGAAAAGGTAGTTTAAAATAAATGAGTTGGTCTTCTCAAAATAAATGTACATGAAGCACATTTACAACACAGACATTAAGGTAAAATATTGGCTCCATCATCTCCCCACATCAAACACATTAAAATCTCAAAATTTATGCCACACAATCGAATAACAACTTAACATGTTTTTCTGCAACACACAGTCTGTGGTAAGCACAGGTGTTTAATTTATAACAAAAAAAAACAACTTGCTTCTACAGTCTAACACAATACATGTGTACCATCAATGTAGCCTCAAGCAGAAGCATAAAACAGAAAACCAAATCAAATTTGAGAGGGTTGGATTATGAGGAGAGACTGAGTAGACTAGGCTTATATTCATTGGAATTCAGAAGAATGAGGGGAGATTTTATAGAAACATATAAGATTATGAAGGGAATAGATAAAGCGGAGGCAGGGAGGTTGTTTCCGCTAGCAGGTGAAACTAGGACTAGAGGGCATCGCCTCAAAATAAAGGGAAGCAGACGTAGGATTGAGGTCAGGAGGAACTTCTTCACCCAAAGGGTTGTGAATCTGTGGAATTTCCTTCCCAGTGAAGTGGTTGAAGCTACCTCACTGAATGTTTTTAAGGCAAGGCTAGATAAATTTTTGAACAGTAAAGGAATTAAGGGTTATGGTGAGTGGGCGGGTAAGTGGAGCTGCGTCTCAAAGATCAGCCATGATCTTATTAAATGGCAGGGGAGGCTCGAGGCCAGATGGCCTACTCCTGCTCCTAGTTCTTATGTTCTTATATAAATTTCTTTTATTGGCATGGTGCCCTTTACCAAAGTATTAGCCACAAGTTCAAAGCAGCTCAAAATCACATTCACCCCTGAAAAATGCATGAAATAATTTTTATTTCAAATAACTAACAGCAAAACCCCAAACTGAGGGAAAGAAATTAATAAGTTAACAAATTCATCTGCCAAATCAAATACCAAAACATTCTGCTTTTCCTGCCCAAGACACATGAAATTTATATTCTGTTAAACATGCCCTTCTCAGAGCTTGCACACTTTCATTTCTAAAAGTACATATTTTCTAAACAAATACAAAATGCACTGCTTGAAACAGCTCATCAAGAAATTCTCCATTCCTTTTGGAATGCAGCTAACCTCAGCACTTGGTCCATTTGACCCAACGCACATCAGCAACTTGAAAGAAATCACATGAACAACTTTGGATAAATCTAAATCAGCAATACTAAAGGGATGCCTTGTAAATGTACATTTTTAAAAACTGACAATTTGCATTTGTGCTTCATTTGGGGCTGATTAAGTCTCAATGCTTAAAGCAGAGTCCACTGTTAATTGAAAGAAACAAAATTTAACATTACTGGTTATTTAGCTTCGAATCCACATACTCAGACCTTAATCTGGCCTCAAACTAGGACAGCAGTCAGAGTGCATGCAATTCACCCAAATGTTTATGATTGAAGCCGTGACGATTATACATTTTCTAGTCATTTTTGAAATGCTGGAGTACTTGCTTGGTGTTGAATTAGGGTAAAAAATTTCAATATATTTAATGGTGTTTACAACTCATTTCTCATTTACACTACTAATTATAAATGAAATAGAGAGGGAGTTCTTAAAAATACATGTATAAGCTGTTTGTCATTCTTTCAGAATGAGTCAACTGCACAAAACTAATGATGCGTTGCTGTCAGTCTTAGACACTTGGGAATCTTAACAACGTTATAAGTAACCTTGGCCAAAAATCAATAATAGGATTAAGAGCATTTTGAACTCAAGACCATGAATAAATTGCATGACAATAATTCCTGTAATCAGAAATGCTAAAGGGAGATGGTGGCCTAATGCTAATGTCAGTAGACAAATATTTTACAACCTCAGCTAATGTTCTGGGGATGCTGGTTTGATTCTCACCACAGATAGAAATTTAGACTCAATGAAAATCTGGAATAAAAAAGCTCAACTAACTGTAACCAATACTGGTAATAGTCAGAAAAGGAAACATGGTCTTCAGAGGAGGAACTATGGTCCACATGTGACTCCAGACCTTCAGCAATGTGGTTAAGTCTTAACTGCCCTCTGGGCAATTATAAAAAGTTGATAAATACTGGCCTGGAACAGCAATACCCACATCTCAAGAATGAATTTTTAAAAATTGCCATTTCCTTCCTCAGTATCTATTACAATTGCAGAAAACCGAAAAACGTCATTCTTTCTTACCTTCACTGACTAGTTCACTGTTCTCTGATTGTTTACAGAAGATAATCTTCTCTACCAGCTGGTTATAGCTGCACATTCCCACTGCCTTCGCTACATCAGCAGTCTGAAACAGGATTGTTGGCAGAAAATTAAATTTGAGACTTGCAACTAGATTTCTAGCACTACATACCCCATTTTACATTATAGGAAAAGATCTGCAATATAATGAAGATTAAAAACTGTTGAGGATGTTGAGACTACTGTACATACTGCAAAGATGTTCTTTGTGCATTTTCACAAAAACATAAGTCCAAGTGGTAGAACATTTAATGTAAGAGGGAACAAACAAAAGGAGCTTAATGATGGGCTGTTCAGATGCCATGAGACGTAACTAAATATATCCATCTAATACCTGAATTTTATTTTTGCTTCCTGAAATTCTTTACAAAAACAATTTCCCCCCCTTACCAACAGCAAAACAAAATACACTGATGTGATCTTTTCTTTGTAATTTAACATTTATGCCCAATTAAGGCATTTATTCTGTGATCTTTATCAATTAGAATAGAATGGAATAGAATCCCTACAGCATGGAAGCAGGTCATTCAGCCCATCAAGTTCACATCGACCCTCCAAAGAGCATCCCACCCAATCCCTGTAACCCTGCATTTCACATGGCAAACCCACGTGGCCTGCACACTACTGGACACTATGGGCAATTCAGCATGGCCAATCCACCTAACCTGTCCATATTTGGACTGTGGGAGGAAATCAGAACACCCAGAGGAAACCCACGCTGATACTGGGAGAACGTGCAAACTCCACACAGATGGTCACCTGGGTCTGAAATCAAACCCGGGTCCCTGACATTGTGAGGCAGCAATGCTAACCGTTGAGCCACCATGCGGCCCTCGATTAGCAAACCTCATAAAAGATACTTTCATCATATTCATGTATAATTTCACAATACAGCAAGCGGGGTGGGGCAGGGGTGGTGGAGGAGAAAAACACAAACCTGATTGGAGAAAACAGCGGTGGACCAGAGTATGCTCACATTTGCAAACAGAAACAAAATCTAATTGCAACATAAGTGTAAGTATATACTAATTTTATCGCACAAGTTACACTCGATAACATAACTATGGATAAACACGGAGCAATTTTTTTAAATTTGAGGCCGAACTAGTTAAATGAACTTAAGATAGCAGGGCAGGTGATGTGTTGCAGCTGTAGAGGGTGGGAACTTGTGAACTGATGAGCAGCGTCTGTAGCTCAAGGAGCTTCGGATCCAAGTTGCTAAGTTCGATTCCAAGCTTTGGACACCTCTATGTTAAGGATGTAATTTAATGTAAAGTTATGTCATTGAATTTTACACTCGATTTCAGGACGAGAAATGTGAGTCTGAAGCTCGAGTCTTGAACTTAAATAAAGGCAATTACAAGGGTATGAACACAGTCGTTAAAGTGGAACAGAAAAATAGGTTAAAGGCTAAGATGGTAAAGTAGCAACGTCAGACAGTTAAGACAACATTGTATAACTAAAGATGTATGCCATTGAAACTGAAAGAATCTGAGAAGGGTGTACCATTCATGGTTCACTATGTTAAGGATGAGTCAAATTAAAGAAAGAACACATAATGTAATGATTAACAATATGCCAGAGAGTTGAGAAAGTTTTACAAACCCAAAAATGGGGGAGAAATTGGAGTGCGAGAGAAAACTTGAAAGAATCAGAAGATACTAGAATACCTACAAATATATAAAAGAAGCAAAGAGTAGCTATAGTAAGCATTCATTTCTTAGTGACGCTGAAGAATTAAGAATGGAAAACAAGGAAATGGCAGAGACTTTGAACAAGTATTTTGTACATTTCTTCACATCAGAAGGCATGAGAAACATGAAAGCCCATAGGCAAAAGGCAGGCTGGGACGACCAAGATCATTAGCTTAAGTCCAAGGAAAATTAATGGAACTAAAGGCTGACATGTTCCCTTGACTGACCCTTGCATTCAACGGTCTGAAAAGAAATGGCTGCACAGGGATACCCGATGCATTGGTGCATGCATAATCTTCCAAAATTCCTTAGATATTGAAAGGACCCAATGATTCACTAAGCTGATTCCTGGGAAAACACACTGTCTTATGATCAAAGGCTGAACAGGTTGTATCTATAGTCAATGGAGTCTAGAAGAATGATAAAATTCTCTTATTAAAACCTAAGATTTTGAGAGGCCTTGACATTACGGATATTTCAATTTCTGGAGGAAATCTAGAACCAGGTTAGATATAAAAAAGGATTTCTCCTTTAAGTCAGAGATGAGGAGGATTTTTCTTTCTAAGAGGGTTGTTTTGTCTTTGAAATTCTCTTCCAGTGACCACTGGAGGCTGGGTCATTGAATATATTCAAAACTGAATTAGTCAGATTTGTGACTGATGAAGGAGTCACGGTTCAGGGGGTCAAGCAGGAAAGTGGAGTTTGGGCCATGATCAGGTCTTACTTACTAAGTGGTGGGGCAGGCGAGATAGACTGAATACCTAGTCCTGTGATACAATGATTAAGATGCTCGCGGCTATTATCTAACACTTCAATTTTTCCATGCCATCAACAGCACCAAATCACATTTTGTGTGAATGCAAAATCTTTCATCTTCAATTACCATCCAGTTCATCTTGAGATGCTATTGCTAAATTTTCTGCTTTGTTGACCTCTTAGTCACTGGCCACTCAACGGACCTGACACATCAAAACATGAGTGATTTTTTTTAAGAACCATTATGTAGTTGTTATTTAAAAGGATTCAATAAGCAACAGCTTTGAAATGTAGTTTCTTGACTCTCTCAAACACTATTTGAGCTGGCACCACAAGGCTCCAGGTGACAAGCAATGCCAAAAACAAAGGTTCTTGATTAAACGTAACAATATGCATCTCCCAATAATATTGAGAAACAGTTGCCAGGAAGACTGTAAAAATGCTTGAGAATAGCCAAATTGACTGCCAATCAAGAAGTTGGAGGCAGTCAAAGTCAAATGTAACGTGACAGTTAAATGTGCTGTCCCAGCTCAATAGTTGACCAAAGCTACAAAGATTGGCTCCTTTGTCAGTGAGGATGCTGGTCTTTATGAACTCAAAAAGGGCATGAGGTAGAATGTTTAACTCATGTCACATCATTTTCTGGTGGCTAACTCCAGGTACTGAAGATCAACTGGAAAATGTCACTAATCCTTGCATTGTCACCCAACTGAGTAAAAGTAGTAAGACTGTGACAAGGGAAAAGTGGGCTATATGTTAAACAAATTAATAGAAGCCCAGTTTAAGATTGCGGTCAATGCACATTTCAACTTACTTGTGGGTCCACCAACCATCCATGGTAAAGTGCAATATCAAGAAGATCAAACACTATGCACTCGGGTGTGTATTCAAACACTCGTACACCAGTAAACTTCACATTTACATCGAGTCCTGTCTGCAGCTTGTGTAGAATGGCCATTGCATCACTCATGTTCTGTTTCAGAAAACAAAAAAGAAAATACAAGGTTGAAAAGCATATCAAACAGTTAAAAGATTGAAATAAAAAGAAATAAAGTAAGCCACTTGAAACCTCGCTCAATGCAGTGAAGTGCAAATTGGTACGTATAATTTTGGACAGTGTCATTGTTTGAAATTTTACAACCAAATTAGATGCACATTCAAAAGTCACCAAACTGTGAAGGAAGATACACTGAGGTATTCATCTCTAACTAGGAAGAACAAAACAATTTCTAAGTACTTTACACCAGACTTAAATGAATGCATGTACCACTGCTTGCTCTAACAATTATCCACACCTTGGAACTCCTCTCATTTTACTTGTTACATTACAATCCCTTGTCTTGCTGCAACAGCAAATTTGATGAGGTAGATGCCGTATGGAACTCTACACTATATACTTTCTCCTTTACCCATATCAGGATTCTTTGTTTGCCCACCGAGCCAGTTGTTCCATGGCGCGCAGACGTTTCATTACCATTCTAGGCATCATCAGTACGACCTCTAAGCGAAGTGTTGGTGTGCTCCGCTCTGCATTCGTATGATCGTCTGGTGTGGTGTATCTTGTCACTTCCTGTTCTGTTTTTCAGCACTGTGTACAGGGTCTATTTCTATGCGCTTGTTAATGGAGTCCCATGGTGAGAACCAGGCCTCCAGAAATTCTCTTGCATGTCTGTTGTTCGCTTGTCCCAATATAGTCACTTTGTCCCAGTTGAACGGATGGCCTTCATTGTCTGTATGTATTGAGATAAGTGAACATTGGTTGTGTCTTTTTATTGCCAGTTGGTGTTCGTGTATCCTGGTCGTCAGTTTCCTCCCCGTTTGTCCAATGTAAGGTCTGTTGCACTCACTGCATGGGATTCTATATATCACGTTAGTCCTGTTTACTGTTGGTACATGGTCTTTAACATTTGATAGCAGTGTTGATGTAGGTTTGTGTGCAGTCCGAGTCTGGTTGTCATTTCCGATATATTTTTGATGTAGGGTAGAGTTACTAGTGTCTTCTGTTGTACTGTGTCCTCTGACTGTCATTTGTTTTGTAGGCATCGATGGACAAAACTTCTTGGGTATCCGTTGTCAGTAAATACTTTGTGCAGGTGTTCCTCTTCCATTCTCTGGAGTTCTGGGGTGTTGCAGTGTGTTATGGCTACATAAATAGAGCTGCATTAAGACACTATTTAAATGAGCCATATTACACTGCAACACCCCAGAACTCGAGAACCAAATCCACAACCCGAGCTACAAACTTTCACTAAGACCTTAAAAACCATATCACGAACTTCAAATTTCCCTGATGCTGTTCCTTCTCCCAAGACTAACATGATTTGTTCACAAATACAAATCTGCACATTATGTACGTTTACAGTAACAAGTTGACCTCAAACAATAGTCTTACCTATGTGGAAGTCAGTCTTTTCAGGAAGGATATGTCAAAGTGTGAAGTACCCATGACAATATAGGGTACCATGTTTTTATAAAGTTAATGTTCTTTCTTCTCTTTAACTAATAAAATCCAATTTATTTCTCCCCAGCGATCTAAAACATTATCAGTGCTAATTGATGTAAAAAAGTATCTTTAATTTTACTACAAAATTTATGAATATGAAAGCAAAATAAATGAAATCCAAATCTATCAATGCGAAACACTAATGGAAATTTATAGTGAACCAAACTTTACATTCTAACTCATTCCTGTTCCAATCTTGTGTGTTCAATAAGCAACTTCTCCAGGCACTAAAGATTTCATTGCAATTTGATGTAGAATGAAGCCGATGTAGAAAAATTAGGAGATGTGGCTCAACTCCAGATGAAAATTGCAGGCTTTTAAGTTTTATTGGGCAACTAGAAAAGAGAACAAGACACGTAAACGTTTAGGGAGGGACTTGCAGGAAGAAGCAGAAATAGCAGCAGTTTCCTTCAAAGAAACAACCAAAGACAGAATTATGACAGGCCAGTTTCAAATGACTGAAGGGTGTACAATGTGACGCAAACTGAAAGGGGGTGCAAAGGTAGAGATGGAATGAGATACTGAACAGATGTTAACCATCACAGATGCCAATCTTCAGCCAATTTGACTCACTCACTCCATGCGATATCATGAAATGACTGAAACCACAGAATACTGCAAAGAGCATATGACTGCACATTCTAAATGATCTCAACCATTGAAAAATGACAACAGCTGCAGGTGCATGGGACCACTGCCAACAGGTTCCCCTTTAAACTTAGAACTATGTTGTGTTCCTTCATTGTTGATGGGTCAAAATCCTGGAATTCCTGTCCTAATAGCACTATGGATGCACTTCTAGACAGACTTCAGAAAATCAAGAACGAGGCTCACCATCACCACCTCCAGAGAATCCATAGATCAACAATAAATATTGGCCAAGCCAGTAACACCAACTGAATGGATATAGAAACCTCCTTTTAATTCTATATGCTTTCAAATAAACAGTGCCAGCTCAGAAGGATGAAGGTAATAGAGGAACAGAAATTAATGCAGACATTATATAGAATGACCGAGTTTGGGAAGATGGAAAACATTTCAGTAGAACACAGAATTTTGACAACATGAGTTTATAAGTAACAGAAGTATGGGCAAGGGATGTTAGAGGTGAAAGAAGTTGGTGTGATGACTCATCAGATGCCACGTATGAAACCCAACTCAGTCAAGTAAGTTGCCAGCAAATTGCAAAGGATGACTCAAGATCATGAAAACAGTTGAAGACAAACAAGACTTGCACAAGGTAGCAGCATCCACTGAGGATTAGTTAACACAAAGTACAAAGAACCAGGATTATTGGGGTCTTCTTCAGGTTGGAAAGACATAACTACTGGCGTGCCACAACGATCAGTCCTCGTGCCTCAGTTATTCACCATCTATATTAATGACTTGGAGAAGGGGGCATGTACAACATATCCAAATTTACTGAAAACACAAAAATAGGTGGTAGGGCATGTTATACAAAGAATCTCAAAAGGGATATAGGTAGATAGAGTAAGTGGACACAAACTTAGCAAATGGAGTTTAATGTAGGCAGGTGTGAAGTCAAGCAATTGGTAGAACAATCAAGTGGCAGACTATTATTTAAATGGAGAGAAAACCCAAGAAAGTGGAGTGCAGAAGGATGTGAGGTTCTTGTGCATGAAACAACAAAAAAAAAATTGCAGGTACAGCAAATGTTTAAGGTGGTAAGTGGAATTTTGGCTTTTACTGCAAGAAGGTTAGAGTTTAAAAAGAGCAAAATCATGTTGCACCTCTCGCCACTGATCCCACCTCATCAATGTTGCCGTGATGCCCTTATGCCACTACTTTGCCAGCGCCAGATCCAACCAACAACAATGTCGCCGATCCTCAGGCGCCATTTTTTACCACTGGGACTACCTTGCCTCTGCTGATGTAGTAGGCATTTTGATGCCCAGCAGATCCCACGCTTGCTCCTGAAAATCAAGTAGTGGTTCACTCTCCTGCCCGCAGTGAGCTCGCTCGATGTCCGTGGTACGCCCACCCGAAGTCAGCGGGCCCAGGGCACTCCCGTGGGCTGGGCTCTTGCCGCCATCAATACCATCCAAGCTCAGGACAAGGTAAGTAAGAAACAGAAAACAGACAGGAAGAAACAGAAAAAGAGAAAGAAAAGCAGTCAAAACAGACAAGCTCTGGCACGGGAGCCCTCCGCCGCCATAGTGGACTGGAAATTAGCTAACATGCATGTAAGATGTGAAGGCATTTCTTCTCTCAAAGGATAGTCAATGTCTGGCGTCCTCTATCCTAATGAATTGAGGAGGTTAGATCATGACAAGTATTTAAAGAGGAGGTAGATCATTTCTTTTTGAAATATTGGGGAGTTGAGGGATATTATAAGCTGGCACAAAAAAGGAGTTGAAGCCTGGGGAAGATCTGTCATCATCTTGTTGAACGGTGGGGCAGGTGTGAAGGGCTTAATGGCTCACTCTTGCTTCAATTTCTTATCTTAAAGTAAAAAGTGGATTTTAGTGGAGTAGGCAGGTGATGTGGTTTTTAAGATTGGGACACAGTGTCAGAATTGGAAGATCTATAAACAATTTACGTAAGCAAGCATCCCAGGATTAGCAGTCGACTAGTCAACTGAGTCCAAAGACAGCATGATGAGTTGAGTTGAAGACCGTCCAGGTGAACAAACCTGACTGTGGGAGACAGTAAACGTGGACAACATTTCTGATAGTCCTATTAGGAGAATCTAACTGGAAGGAGTGCAAAGGAGATTCAACAGCAAGTTGCCTGGAATGGAGCATTTCAGCTGTAAAGAGAGGCTGGCTAAGTTTGGGGTGGCTTCTGGGAGCATAGCAGGTTAACAGTGGACCTGTGAGATGTATAAGATGATAAGGGGCATGGAAAGGATAAATACAAAGCAACTGTTCCCCTTAGTTTTGAATCAGAGATAGTAGGAACTGCAGATGCTGGAGAATCCGAGACAACAAGGTGCAGGGCTGGATGAACACAGCAGGCCAAGCAGCATGATGGGTCAATACATGGGGACATAATTTTAAAAGTAAAAGGCAGGAGGTTTAGAGGGGACTTGAGGAAAACCTTTTTTCACCCAGAGGATGGTGGAGACTGGAATGCACTGCCTGAGTGGGTAGCTGAGGTAGGAAATATGAACTTTTGAAAATTACTTGGAAGAGTTTTGGCTCTTCATCTTTGTGGGCATCATCGCAGCCAAAGCCAAGCCAACCTGTCACCTATTTACTCAGATGCATTTTAGAGAGGAAATCTTTGGAACTGAGTCAGCCTTTTTCCCCAGTTTATGCCTTCTGTAGCACTGGAACAATTTTTTTGTGCTAGTAATACTACATATGTGAAATTAGTCATGTCTTCAACTTAAAATTATGATGTGCACATTTCTCCAAAGCTTAACTTGTGAAAGCCATAATGTTGTGTAGTTTCAATAGTCAGCCCACACTCTGGTTCCCACATGAAGAGCTGCAGCAGCTCCATGTGAAACAAGCAGTCCCATGAGCCTACTGATCTAGTTAAATTTTTTTGGAAATAAATGGTAGTGTATGCCAGAAAACAAACATGAAAAATTGTTTTCTGCCTAATTTACAGACAAATTAGAAAGTGCTCAAATAAATATTTTTGTCTGACTAAATGAACAATTCAAGCTATTCTGACAGTAAAGTATTTTGCATTAGAAAATTAAGTCTCACCAAAAGAAAATTTTCCAGAGTATTCAGCTCAGCAGTATGCTGCAGGTTCATCTTACTTTCATTGCAGTATAACTTAGCATTGCTATTTTTAACTAGAAAATAGCTACACATGAAAGAAATTCGTCAAAGTGACATGATAGACATTTCTATGGGATGATATATTGATCCAAGTGTAGAGTAGAAAAAAAAACAGTATTTCAGAAATGAGCAATTTCAAATTCTTGGACCCTGGGGGTAAAATATGTTTATAGCCTTCCTATGTCTGGGTGTTCCATAAATGTACCTGTCGATAAAATATTAAAATGCAATGTTCATTTCAAAACTTTTCCAGCACTTCACTGCAAAAGAGCAAAGTCGAAAGTTTCTCTGGATCAAAGAGTTCTTTAAGTGTAAACTTCATGATTCCATAGCCTTCAGTTTGTTTTCAACATACATCAACAATATTTACAGCATCAGTTCTATGAGGATTTTCAACTGTCTCTTTCCTTTCACAAAGACCTCATCGACTACAGACATATAACCAACAAACCAGTAAATTTGTACCTGCTCATAGTTTAATCTCTGAACATCATTGATTTCTTTTGGCTTTGCATCGAGAATATAGTCACCTATGAAAGCAAAGTAAAATTACAAACAGTATTAAGATATTGCTTTCTCAAAAATAACTTCAATACTCAGTAAAAAATAATATCAATACCCATTTGTTTCTAGCCATAGGTGCTCTATTAGTCATCGCTTTCCCCTTTGCTCTTTATGTGTTACTTCCTTCAACGTTAGACACAAATCAGTTGTAGATTCCCAAATATTATGAAAACAGAAAAGCCAGGAGACACATAAACTGTCACATCAGCCCCAATGTCACGAGTCATAAAGTATCCTGTTCAAAATAAAATCATATGCTACAAAAAACAATTTACCAACAGCCTTCTTCAGACTGCTTCATTCACAAAACAGAACCAGCAAAATCACAAATCAAATCCTTTCAGATTTATTTCAAGTTTTTTTAAGCAGTAACTTGGTTCCACACCCACTCCCAAGTAAGAAAAGCTGCAGCAAGAAAAAAACTCCATAAAACATAATAAACTCATCCTTTCAATTTTTAAACATTTTCAGCAACTTTCTCTATTCCTTGATAGGCCTCAGACTCCACTACACTTGTAGCTTTCATCTGAGTCAGATCACTGTGTATCTGAGTTTCATAAAAATCCCTACGTGTGCTCTAATTTGCTAAAAACCTGTACCTGGAATTGCAAGCTGGAGTTCCAGAACAGGCTGTGTTCTATGACATTGATTGCAAATAATTAAAAAGGACTCGTGATTTCCATAATTAAAACAAGAAGGTTTTAATTTAGTATCGAGAAAGCACATCCTCTGCCACACCTAGTGACAAGCAATCCATTACATAGCATCAATAAAGCTTTTGACCTTGTTTTTTATAAATGGCAGCACTAATCAACATAAAATACACAGCTGTTCTCAAAAAATTAACAATGCAGTGCTCACAATATTATTCAATAATGTGGATTGTTTCAAATTCTGTTCATTAAATATGGTACACAGTTATAATCGTGATAAACTAATAGTCCACCAATTGAAAGATTTTCAACTCCATCATAAATTATGGTGGGCTGAGGACAATGAAAAATTCTTCAAAGATTCTACTCAATTTATTTGGACTGATCAAAATTGATAGGTTTTTCTGGTCTTTGAAAAGAACATATTATACTAACCTCACAGAGCCAAAGTGAAAACACCCCAATTTAATCTGATGTTATTTTTGTTGAAATGCTAAAATTTTATATATTAATTTTCTAGATGTTCATCAAAAATAATAGATGCTGATCGTCTCATTCAGTTGAATATTAAATATACTTTTTCTTGTTTTTTTAACAATTTCTTGCAATTTATCTTATCACAAATCTCTCAAAAGCAATACATATGGTGCATAATCTACTATTTTGATAGATGTTTACTGTCATTCACTATCAACACAATTAAAGATCACAACACATAATCTCAAAGTGCACAATGAACACAGTGCTAATCAATTTAATGCCTCCTTAGCAATGATTTTGCAACAGCAATGAGGCAAAACTATCAGCATTTGCCATCATTACTCCTCTGAAGTGAGAGATTTGGCACTCCAAGGGATATGCTATTGAAGATTCCACAAAATGCAATTAGAACTTGCTCTTCAGTCTCACTGTAAAACACTTGAAACAATTATACTTTGTTGAGTGTGGTATAACTGGGCTTTAACCAGCATTTAAAATTTAGAATAATTCGAAACAGCCTCTCTTGCCCAGAAAAGCTAATTACACAATTGCACCATGTCAAATTTCTCCACAACAACAAAAATGTTCACATTTGCTTTTAGAAAGGCATGTTTATGATGTTTCATTTTCTACTTTTATCCTCTGTGCATTCCCAATCATTTATTTCATCTTGTAAAATTGTATTAAGAGGTGAACAATAATCTGCACATTTTACTTTCCGGCTTATTGTCTGAGATAACTTCAATAATGGAATGACAGTAACAGTTGCCTCCTTCAGACAAGTCTATACACCCCCTACCAAGGAATAAACTTCTGAGAATTTTGAAAAGATTTAAATTATTAGAATTGTATTTCTATTTGTGTTTGTAGTATTTTTCCTTGGCAAGAGGAGATTACATTTGGTGTCTTGGAGTGCTGCAGATTTCTTAGCTGCAATCTTAAGTGATTTTCTGACAGAACCTGCTGGATTGACTTTGCTCTGCCAGTTTTGGTAGATGGTTGAACATTTGTTCACCCTGCCCGATTGTTACTGGATGGTTGAAAGCTCCTTGACTTGGTTCCAGATTCAAATCATACCACAAAGATCCTTGGACGTCTAAGGTTTTGGAGTAGATCTGTAGCTCGGGTTGTGAGTGTTGAGGTTGGTTGGCTCGCCGAGCTGGTTTGTTGTTTTCCAGACGTTTCGTTACCATGCTTGGTAACATCCTCAGTGCAACCTCCGATGAAGCTTCAACCAACCTCAAGATCCTTGGAGGACTGGGAAAGCAATGGTGTTTGCGTCTGACCTCAAAGACAGCTATCCATAAGATAATGAGATCTTTGCGGGCAGCTTTTTCAAAAGGTCAGAGACATACACCATTGCTTCACTAAAAAAAAAAATTCAGGCTTTTAAGTTCAAAGCAAATGATATTAGGGGCTGAGAAACAAAACACCTTCTTTTTCAGTGCTCTGCAACTACCGCTAGACCAACAGTAGCATCAGATGAAATAATAAAATGAGGAACAACAGTATAAAATGCCCAATCATGTTATCAAAACTGGCAGAGCAATATCAACCCACACAGTTTCTGTCAAATAATCTAAGAGGCACTCATGACTGCATCCAAGAAATCTGCAGTGCTCCAAGACACCCAATGCAATCTGCCGCTTGCTACAGAGAAATACTACAGATATTCTAGCAACTTAAAACTTTTGATCAAAACTCTCTAGAGTTTATCCCATTAATAGTAGGTAAATAGGCTTGTCTGAAAAGAGCCATTGATAGCTGTTACTTAAGTACCAATAATGTGAGTTACTTAAAAATGACAGTTGTTTACAACCATATCAACCCTGTCCTCAATGTTCAGTTCAACGTATCCATATTTTCTTGGGGAATGTGTACCATAGTTCAGTCGTTATTTAGTTTGTTCAGTAATCTAGTATTGTTACAAGATCCTACAATTAACAGTTCTGGATTTCTTGGCATAAACGATGACAAAATACTGGCATAAAAAATCAATGATATGCAGTCTTTTTAAAAGTTTGACTTTCCAAAACAAATTTCCTTTATTTCAAAGACAGGTGAGTGCTATTTCAGTTTCTAAATGTTCTGTCAAACATAACGGGGGCATCAAATGAAAAAACAAAATAAAGAACAGAGATGTAAAATGTCCAATAGGATAAGTACTGAAATGATGTTGCAACGAGAAGCACACAAAAATGCTTCATTACAAATATTAAAGATTCTGTATTCAGGACCAAGAAACTATCTCAAAATGCAAAAGTCAAAATTCAAATTTAAAATGATCTTCAAAATTCATTTTGTTTATATTAGTGGGCACAAGCAGATTTAAAATTTCCCACCTCAGAAATGATGCAAGTTAAATATTTTTCAGGTAATTAAATAAATTGAGATCCATGCTCCATGCAGCAAATTTAAAGTTTTGTCTGATATATTCTGACAAGGGTGGCTGTTGGAAAGTCCATATTAGTGATGATTTTACAGCCTCCGTCACACATTCTAGGAACTTTCCTCACCAACACTGGTCAATCAAGTTACTGTTCCACATGTTTCCAAGCTACTGACAGAGTTTGGCAGCTTATACTTACAACTAATTTTAACCACAGTCAGAAACCAGGTAGCAAGCTATCTAATTTCCTATTAATCATTCTGTTATAGCCAAGAGCTCATAAATCAGAACGTCAACAGATCATATCAATGACCTTTTCACTCAGCCTACAAACTAACTCTATTTTGTTAACAATTCGTATGACACTTTGAGCTTCCTTCAGAGTGACTATCCAATCATCATAAACACCAGTCCCCATATTGCAATAACAGAAGCATAATCTGCTCTTCACTCTAAATGCAGCAATAAAAATCAAGTTTTTAAAGCTTTGAAAGACATTTTGTTCAGCTTAACGTTTCCAATGATAACATCGACAGAAACTCATTTCAGAAGATTACAAGTGGTGTTATAACAAGAAAGCTACTGGCTTCGAAGTCCAGTCACAGATTCCATGTTCAGGCCTTCTACGTCAATCTCTGTTGTTGGTAACTGAAATTACCATTGCATAAATCCATCATGTTTCCTGTTTTGTTTTGCTAAACTGCTTTACCCACAAGAATTCCGATACCTACATGCTTTCAACATTGCTCCATATCTGAAGTTTCTCACACTCGGGGACAAGATACAAGTTAAAAAAAACAAATCGCAATCCAATAAATGAACTTACTCTTCCCATCACAATTAAATAATAATTTAATAAATTAATTGCTTCAAAAAAATCACATTATTGGTACTATGCTTTCTTTAAATTCCATATTTCTGTTCTATTCAAGCAATAATTTATTTCTAATACACTTGCAACAAACTGCATTGTTGCTTTGTTAAAATCAAAATTCATATCAGCTTTGTACTCTAATTCACTCTTGCAGGAATCAATTTGGAACTAGTTTTCTTCATCATTCCTTTTTGCTGTAAGATCAATATTAACTAACCATGATTTCCCAATTTATTTAATTTTCTCTAACTCTTGACATCTTTACGTGACAATATGACATCAAAGGCCCATTTGAAGTATTGTTCACGCTCAAAAGTTCTTCAACTGTCTGTGCAGGATTGGGCTCAACGGATGGATTGAATTGAATTTTTTCATGCCACGCTTGATTACAGTTTTATTAATTTACCGCTGTTCCAAAGTAGAGGTTCTGCTGATTGAAATCGGCAAAATGGACACACGTTACATCTGTTTGGAAAGTGTTAGCTTTTCTTCAAGTTTCCACTCAAATTCATATGCACATTAGTGCACCAAAAAAAACTGTCATGGGCAATTGGTCTCCATTTTAGATCTTGTAAATTTTTCATCAAAACTAATCCTTGGATTACTTAAGAGTGGTAATTCAGTGCAGTTTGCTTTATAAAAATAAAAGTGGATTCAGCACAGAAAATGGGCTTTTAATGACAAAGTTAATCTATCACTGAAGAGTAAGCCAATTTTAAAATTGCTGACAGTTATTTCAAAAATGTGCAGAACCATTTCCCAGTTATACTGAGACACAAGAGTCAGTTCCTTAGCAAATTTCAATTACATTAAAAAGCTTTTAGCACATGAGTATCCTTGTACTGAAAAGAACCAGTCTAAATATTGGAGCTTCCTCAACAGCATGCAAGTGAGCAGAAATCTAGAAAACATCCAGAAGTGATTTATCATCCTGGTAATGCTTTGGGCAGGGTCTGATTCTAGACAACATAATTAAAACTAGCACAGGTAAAAATCAAACTGCAGTCAACAAAACTTGCACCTAAAATTCCACAAACTGCTGCACTGGTTTAAGAGATTTCTTTTCAGAAAAATCTACACAACCTAACAAAAATTGATGTTCAAATTGTGAATTCCAGGATTTTGATCAGAGATGCTGAATTAAAGTAGTCCAGGCTGAAATCAGAATGGTGAAAAACAGACGGAACTATGGAGATTCTGGTGCTACCATGCACCTGTTGCCTTGTTCTTCCAGGCAGTGGTCAGATGTTTGGGAGTTGCAGCAGTACATTAAATCTCAACATAGGAAACCAACTGATACACCATGCTGATATTGGGTTGCCTGATCTTGATCTATTGTTCTGAAATTTTTTTCCTTTTCAAGTATGCATCTAATTCCCTTCAGAATCTGCTTACATTGCCCTTTCTGGCAGTGTACTCTAGATCATAGTACAACAATGATGGAGGGAATGAGTCTTTAAGAAAATTGATTGGACCCTAATTAAACTGCTTTGTACCAAATGGTGTCAAGGTGCTTGATCGTTGTTAAAGCAGCACACATTCCAACAAATTGACTTATGCACTGTTGGCAAAGGGAACATCTGGAGAATTTAAACAAGTGAATCTTAGTCAAATACCTGCTCATGTAATCATGATATTTGAGATTGTTGCTGTTGATTTTCCA